GAGAGAGAGTCTACTTTTTATTTATTATAAAAAAAACTACACGTACTGCATTAGACTAACCGAGACTTGTCACAGCACTCACATCTCACTGTAAAAAATCACAAGTTGAGACAACTTAAAAGTTTAAGGCAACCAGCTTCAGCAGATTTTTGAGTTTTCTCAACTTTTTGTATAAACTGAAAAAAAAAACACGTTGAGGTTGCCTTAAACTTTTAAGTTTTCTCAACTTTTAATTTTTTACAGTGTACTGTCCTTATTTGTTGGTCGCTTTGCATTAAAAAGCTTCTGCTAAATTATTAAATGTAAATGTATCACAGGAATAAATTAAGAGACTTCTTTCAGGAACATTAAAATCTCAGCAGCCCCAAACCTTTGAACAGCAGTGTTGATATGAAGCCAGGTGTCTGTGATGAGATTTTATTAAGCTGTATGGGGCACTTTTTATGATGGATGGATGCACTTTTTTGGGCTTCAAATCTCAACACCCATTCATTACCATTACGAGAGACACTCACGAGAGACACTCACTGAGAGCGAGAGAGAGAGAGAGAGAGTCTACTTTTTATTTATTATAAAAAAAACTACACGTACTGCATTAGACTACCCGAGACTTGTCACAGCACTCACATCTCACTGTAAAAAATCACAAGTTGAGACAACTTAAAAGTTTAAGGCAACCAGCTTCAGCAGATTTTTGAGTTTTCTCAACTTTTTGTATAAACTGAAAAAAAAACACGTTGAGGTTGCCTTAAACTTTTAAGTTTTCTCAACTTTTGATTTTTTACAGTGTACTGTCCTTATTTGTTGGTCGCTTTGCATTAAAAAGCTTCTGCTAAATTATTAAATGTAAATGTATCACAGGAATAAATTACATTTTAAAATATTTTAAAATTGAAAACAGGTTTTTGAAATTATAATAAATCACAATGTTACTGTTTTTACTCTATTTTTGTGATCATACAAATGCAGCCTTCAAAAAGCATTCAAAAGCTTGGCCTCAGTAAATGTTTAATTTCATTTTTTTAAGAAATTAATACTTTTATTCAGCAAGGATGTGTTAAATGGATAAAAAGTGACAGTAAAGATTCATACTGTTAGAAAAGATTTCTATTTTGAATAAATGATGTACTTTTTATTCATCAAAGTATCACAGGTTCCAAAAAAATATTAAGCAGCACAACTGTTTCCAAAATTGATGATAAATCAGCATATTAGAATGATTTCTGAAGATCATGTGACACTGAAGACTGGAGTTATGATGCTGAAAATACAGCTTTGCATCGCAGGAATAAATTACATTTTAAAGTATATTAAAATAAGAAACCAATATTAGAAATTGCAAAAATATTTCACAATATTATGCTTTTTTCTGTATTTTTGATCAAATAAATACAGCATTGATGAGCATAAGAGACTATAACACCAGCTGCAACTGACTGTGTTCAAATATATGTGTGAATATGTGAAAGTGTGAACGAGATACAGAGCTACAGCAGAGCAGATTTCAGATCAACTGTGGTCCAAAGCTGTCATATTGCTTCAAGACACGTGCAATATTGCAAGAGCAGTATAAAATACTTATGATGTTTTTTTTCTGGAGATTCCATTTACTTTTATTCTCTGACAAAGAGCAGCATCCACATCTCGCCTATAATCTCCTTCTGTGCGCTGGTGAAATGTCATACGGGTCTGGAACGACACGAGGCTGAGAAAATGATCACAATTTTCATTTATGGATAAATTATGTGTTTAAGAGGACAGAGAAAGTCCACTAGAGGGCGGCGATCGACTGCTTTTTCAAAGCCCAACAGGGAGAGATGGGTGGCCTGGAAAAGTCCCAATATCCCACCTGAGATTATTATTATGAGTGATTAGTGCTTTAAAGTGTTTTCCCATCTGTTGTTGAACTCTGTAATAACGTGGTGTTTAGTATAATGCACACACAGACTCACACACAAGACCAGCTCCTGCTCATCCCTAAAGAGAGTGTAGGATATAATCTTTACTTTAGTGATTGATATTTGTGAGCCTGGAGCACAAAAGCAGTGTTAAGTCGCTGGGGTATATTTGTAGCAATATCCAACAATACATTGTATGGGTCAAAATTATACATGTTTCTTTTATGCCAAAAATCATTAGGATATTAAGTAAAGATCATGTTCCATGAAGATATTTTGTACATTTCCTACCGTAAATATATCAAAACTTAATTTTTGATTAGTAATATGCATTGCTAAGAACTTAATTTGAACAACTTTAAAGATGATTTTCTCAATATTTAGATTTTTTTGCACCCTCAGATTCCAGATTTTCAAATATTGTCCTATCCTAACAAACCATACATCAATGGAAAGCTCATTTATTCATCTTTCAGATGATATATAAATCTCAATTTAAAAAAATCGACCCTTATGACTGGTTTTGTGCTCCAGGGTCACATATATGAACACACAGCTGTGAAGGGGAGTATATGTAGTAGTGTATATGCATGTTGTAGAGTGTTTGTGATCGTGATGTGTGTGTTTGTCTCACCTAGTGTTGCAGCGCTGAGAGCCATGACTCCATAGAAAGAGAACGGCCCCGTCTCAAACTTCATATTCTCGCTCCCAGCCTCCACCTCCACACGGCCCTGTGACGAGAAGCAGAAATAAAAGAGAACATCTTGTGTTACATTATACACTACTATTCAAAAGTTTGGTGTCAGAAGAATTTTTTTTCTTTCTTTTTTTTTTTTTTTTTTTTTTAAGAAATTAATACTTTTATTCAGCAAGGATATGTTAAATTGATAAAAAGTGATGGTAAAGACATATATTGTTAGAAAAAAAAGATTTCGATTTTGAATAAACACTGTTCTTTTTAACTTTATTTATCAAAGAATTCTGAAAAAAAAGTATCACAGTTTCCAAAAAAATATTAAGCAGCATAACAGTTTCCAGCACTGATAATAAATCAGTATATTAGAATGATTTCTGAAGATCATGTGACACTGAAGACTGGAGTAATGATGCTGAACAGTTTAACAGAGATTCAAATCAGTGGCAGTGTTTCACAAAACCATAGAGTATGGCGCGGGGTGGGGGGGGGGATAAATATATAAAATAAATAAATAAAAATCCCACGGCACACTGGAGCACTGAAATATAGGAGGAAAAAAATTTATTTTTTCAGTAAGAATTGACTGTTTAACCCTGAAACAACAGTCAGTCAGTTATTTATTAATAAATCTAAATAGTGTTAAGTACTTTTGTATTAAAACGGTTTGTACTTATTTTAAAGAAATATGTTCAGCTGCTATATTTCCTCATTCAAATGAACCAATAACTATGCAACTGGTTCAGTGGTGATTGAAACATAAAGAACATAAAAACTGATGAGTGCAAAAGGAAAATTAATTGTGCATGAGAAAAAGTATGAAATTTTATGACTACTACAACAGATTTTTTGCTATGCAAAGATTAATTGCATCCAACAAGTCAGATTATAAAATTTTGCTGCAAGAATTGACTGTTTAACCCTGAAACAACAGTCAGTCAGTTATTTATTAATAAATCTAAATAGTGTTAAGTACTTTTGTATTAAAACGGTTTGTACTTATTTTAAAGAAATATGTTCAGCTGCTATATTTCCTCATTCAAATGAACCAATAACTATGCAACTGGTTCAGTGTGGTAAAAGCAGCATGTGACTTTCAATCAGCGGCTGCCTATGTTGACCCGGGGTAATAATTCTATAATTTGATTAAATCAAAGGGATATGTGACCTATTAAAGGCTAATCAGAGATGAATGAATAAAAAGCAGGGAGGACGTGTTCATTGTGACAATACTGTTATTAACATTTGACTCTACAGGCTAATCACTTCAGCATTCATTATTCCCTTGAGTCAAGCGGCTCATTACTCTGCCACGAGTTACATCTAAACACGTCAGAACAAGCGCAGAGCAGTAAGCAAGAACGTCCGAACGGTAGCGAAGCCGGAAGCTTTGTATTCAAGAACATGGCAGTGGATTTATTGTCTAATTAAGTATTTATTTGTCTGATATAATAGACACATTGCAGAACATACTATATGGTTTTCACAGGCTTTATATGCACAGAAGTCTCAACAATCATGAGTCACCTTGATAGCATGGTTGTTTAAATGCCCGGTGACACAGTCAAGGGTGTTTTGCATGAATAGCAGAGGGCCCAGGACCGAGCCCTGGGGGACACCTGTGTCCGATATGAGACAGTATGAGCTTTGATGGTGGAATCTAATAACTGTTGACCAATTAGTCGACAAGTCAAAGATACAAAACATATGTGTCTTGAAAAGGAGTGGTTTTATTCAACTAGAAAACACAGCAAGACTAATAGTTTGGGGGTTAAACTGATCAACATACTTTAACTTTACACTTAATATAATTGGAACTCAGCAATGACCAATGATTTTGCACACTGTATGTTTAATGTTTTCAGGTTAAAAAGTGAGAAATAACTTTATGCTGTCTATTGTCTCCGATGCATGTAGTCAAAAACCAACATTGTTAAAAATAAAAGTTCTTTATTGGCATCAATGGTTCCGTGAAGAAAATCCATGGAAACTTTCCATTGCCCAAAAGGTTCTTTAGATTATTAAAATATTCTTCACGATAAGAAAACATGGTTCTTCAGTGAAGAGCTGTTCACTGAAAGGTTGTTTGGGAACCCACATCGTTCTTTTATGGCACTGCTGTGAAAACCCCAGTTTCAGAAACTTTATTTTTTAAGAGTGAAATTTCAGAAAGCTCTACAATGAATAGTCCTGTGTTAATTCACCTGTCTGATGTTATGCCACATCACGGGCCGTTAATAACGCACATCCCTGTTACTGGACAATGTAGTGACCAGTTCACTGACCTAATCAGGTCACATCATTATCATTTAGATGGCTAAGACTCCTTGATTGTAGCTAACAGGTAATAATGTGATAAAATCACGCAGCAAACAGGTATAAAAAGAGTCTCCTCACAGTGTACAAATGAACATCGCTGCTTAAAAGCTGAATCGCTCCACTAGCTCTCAATTTCAGCCTCGGTAAAGTAAGTACAGCATCTTTATTAAGAGTACTGTAATATTTAGAGTCTGTTGTGTTATTTCTGTGTCTCTGGCACAGATATGTCTGGAGGTCTGCTCTCAGTGGTCGGTCTGCTGTGTCTGCTGTCCGTTTGCTCGGCCTGTTACATCTCTAACTGCCCCATCGGAGGAAAACGAGCCGTACAGGATTGGCCATCTCGACAGGTGCATTTATAAACTTCCTGACCTTAAACTGAACAACTGAGCTTTAATTTCCTTGCTCTCTGCAGTGCATGTCATGTGGTCCTGGCGATCGTGGTCGGTGTTTTGGTCCCAGTATCTGCTGTGGTGAAGGTATCGGCTGCTTGGTTGGCTCTCCAGAAACACTCCGCTGTCTGGAGGAAGATTTTCTTCCTTCTCCTTGTGAAGCACCTGGAAAAGCTTGCGGTTATGAGGGACGCTGCGCTGCTCCCGGGGTCTGCTGTGACTCAGGTCAGCTTTACCCATTTCATATCTTTTAAAAAAAGTAATTTTACTTGACTGTACTAAAGTGTTATTTTGGGGGATTTGTATTTTACTCAAGTGCAATTTAAACTTGATTACTATATATGACCCTGGAGCACAAAACCAGTCATAAGGGTCAGTTTTTTTTTAAATTGAGATTTATGCATCATCTAAAAGCTGAATAAATAATCTTTCCATTGATGTATGGTTTGTTAGGATAGGACAATATTTGAAAATCTGGAATCTGAGGGTGCAAAAAAATCTAAATATTGAGAAAATCATCTTTAAAGTTGTCCAAATGAAGTTCTTAGCAATGCATATTACTAATCAAAAATTAAGTTTTGATATATTTACGGTAGGAAATTTACAAAATATCTTCATGGAACATGATCTTTACTTAATATCCTAATGATTTTTGGCATAAAAGAAAAATCTTAAGACGTGTTCTGTGGTCTAGGGTCACATATTAGACTTTCCTAGAGGAAAAAAAAACTGTACTTTTTACCTCTTATAATTTTATTTTAACTTTTTTAAACAAATGTTTGCAGATTGTTTTCTTCCATCTTACGTACATCAAATATGTTAAATGAAAGTTCAAACATACATCAAATTTGATTATCATAGAAATTTCCAAGATGAAAGTACATGCTTGACATACAGAAACAAACATGGGTTCTCACACATCAAGCATGCACTTTCATCTTGGAAATTTCTATGATAATCAAATTTGAAGAAGCATATTGAGCTTTGCAGTTTAATTGACTTTGCATCGAGAAGATGATTCAAATTTTTATTTTTTTTATGCTGTTACATTTACATTTTTAATGCTTAAATACAATTTAAAGATGTACTTTTTCTCTTTCACTCAAGTTTTCACTCAGTATCTGCTTTCACTTAAGTATAATTTTTGAGCTGAAATTTAGATTTGTAATCATAGCTATTATCATGCAAAGAAATCACAAAATGATTGTGATGGGACACTAAAAGGTATTAGAGGTGATAAAAGAGGAAAGCTTTGGTAAAAACCGGGTGGTGGACATAAATGACAATATGAATAAAGAAAACAAGAGATTTCACTAATTCGTGGGAAATTATTCAGTGATTTACCTGGTAAGATTACAAATAAATCTAGAGAAAATGAATGGGATTTTCACTTCTACACTCTAAAAAATGCTGGGTTGTTTCAACCCAACTTTGGGTCAAATATGGACCAACCCAACTTTTGGGTAAAAAATTGAATGTAAAAAATTAACCCAACGGTTGGGTTAGTCCATATTTGACCCAAAGTTGGGTTGAAACAACCCAGCATTTTTTAGAGTGTATGTGTATCCACCTAACTGTAATCGATGGTTTGTACATAACTCAGAGGGCTGCAGTATGGATCAGTCGTGTGTGGATGGAGACGCTGACGGTCCAGCTGCCGCTCCATCTGCCAGCAGCCAAGATCTTCTGCTAAAGCTGCTACACCTGTCAAACCACGCCCACCCCTACAGACTCCACCAATGAAATGCTCACAGAAGAGCGACATCATCTCAGGTGGAGCCGCCCACCAACCACAATGACCCATCACCTACTTTTTGTAAACCAAGTTTGTATAGCCGCTAGATATTTGAATGGCTAATACATAGAAGCGGATATTAGTAGTGCTGTATTGATGATAGCTTGACTGCAGCTATTAAACTCTGAGAGAAATCCTCTGTTTAAGTACATTTCATCACATTTTGTCTCATCTGCTTCATTGCTCTGTGCAACGGAGCTTCTCACTACAAACTACTTGAGACCTTTACTCATGTATTTTCTGCATTTGGACGAACTCGCTTGATGCCCATCATTGCATTGTGCCCACAATGCTTCAAACTCAAGAGATTTTGAATGCACACACACA